CGCGAATTAAAAATCGGCGAACACGCAGAGCGCATCACCGAGAATTGTTCACTGAGGTGTGAAGGAGCTCGTATACTCCGTTCTTCAGGATGAACGGATGAACTGTCTCGCGAGACAGACTCGATGTATGTACATCTGGTATTTTCTGCGCTTGTAATCTCTAACGCAAATAGGTTCGGAGGGGTCTCATTGCGGACCGGTTTCATTCAAATCAATCGAGGGAAACTCTCTTCTCAACGAGAAACTCGTTTGGAGGATCGTGAACGCGACTTGAACGCAATAAGCACGTGCAAGTTCGCGATTTTCAAATAAGTGTTCGATCGCGTGTCTAAAACGACTATAAGTAATAAAGGAGAGAGACCAACTGGATATTAGAAGGAAATCGGGAATATAAACAGCTATCAGACAGAACTGTCATGCAGACTGTCGTGCGCACTGAACAATAAGAATTCTGAATATAATCTAGTCAGCTCCGTTAATTTTTCCGTCTCTTACGAAATGCTTGAGATTACTGCTGATGCTGGCCAAATCGACTCTACTTCTGGAATGATGGCCATTAAATCGTGAAGAAGAAAGCTCTTGAGAAAAAACTCGCGCGGCACGACCACGCCGTGCATTATTCATCATGGCAAGGTGCGTTTCTCGACGTGGTGCGCGATAAATTTCGCCGCGCCTCCCATTTTCGTGAGTACTTTGTAATCGTTTAACATGAGCGTTTCTAGCGTTAAAAGTTTTTAGTAACTATTGTCAAAATAAAGCCAATGATATTGCCAAAATGGAGCAATATCAGTAAACATTCTCAAAATCCATTTTCTCAAATCTGATAATTCCTTAACTTCAAAAAGTATTAAACAAGTTTATGAACTTAATAACTTATAATAACCAACCAAAAATAAGGCGCAAAGTCCTTCCGAGTTTCCCTCGGCTATTTGTCAATAATTAGCTCAATTCAATTGAATTTGGTTCTCACTATGTAACAATAATAAAATGAGTAAGACTTAACAATAAGAGTTAGAGGTCTTAATACTTCTTGGATCTCTCAGAAATTTCTCTGATTTATAATTCACAGTGTATAATAATATTGTAATACATGGAAATAAAAAAACTGTCATTTGAAGATCCGTCTATAATACAAGTTTTTTTAATGAATAGATACCTTAAATCTAATCGAAGGAGAAAAAAAAGCGGTTAAAATTACGTAAAATTTACTTTCCGAACGCCTGCACTGTCGCAACCCGTTGAACGTTATGCGTACCGACTGTCAAAGGTGTGCGAACAAACAGCTGTTGCCACCTTACGACGGGAATGACAGATCTCGATCTCTTCAACTTGCACTTCTGCTGGCTCAGATTTGACTCTTTCAACGCCGACAAGATGCTATTAAAAATCATTGATCGCGAGTAAATTGTCAAAACCATCAACAGAATCTCTTATCCTCGATTCTATCAACGTAGATTAATTTTAATCTCGGTTCAATTTACTCTTCATCTTTTTCTAGTTCTAAGAATTTTCTAATTCTAAGAAATAAAGTAAATCTATGTTGGTGGAATCGAGCATTAGAGATTCAAAGATAATTGAAGAGTATTATTAACATTGTCGACTATCGTTATAAATTTTGTGACCTGACAAATATTTGAATAAGTACTTAGTTTACAATATTTTATTCATTTCTTTATTATTATTAGAATACATCAAGTGCCATTTAATGTTTATTTCTTTTTTAATAATTTTAATTCTTTATTTGATTTTTTTTTATATGGGTTTTTTTAATATGGGTTTATTAAGTTATATTTTCTTTTGATACATTCAACTATCAAATGAAACTAGACTCTCATATTTCATATAATCATTAAAAAAAAATACAATTGAATATAAAAATACAAAAGAAAATTAAAATTAGTTGATTTAACATGCGGAAAATTGATTTTTTTATTCCATGCATATTTGATTTATCTCTTTTTATATTATTTAATTTATTCTGTAATGACGCGCACTTTCCATTAACATCACTTTAAATTTCTCTCGAAGCGATAAATTTGAATTATGAATAATAATAGAGCCATGATAGCATTTTAATCAAACGTTCCAGGCTAATATTTGTTTTTTAGGAATGCTTAGATTATCGCAATTCGATAAACCACATACTACTTTTTTCTTATTTGCAACGATTTTCACATACGCAATTATTAAAGTATAGATGAATTTTTTCTTTTTAATGAAGTTCATAATTCACTTTTTATAGAGATCTACATTAAGAATTGAATCAATAATTTTATACTGCACATTATACTCACTTTTATAAATTTAAATATGATTATTAGGATATTGATATTAGAATTAAAAAAAATTATGAGTAAAAAATAATCGGCATGTGCATAATTTAAACAATCAATTACAGATCAGTGAGTATATTCATTAAAAATATAAAATATTTCATTACATAATTACACATTTTAATAGCTCCCGTTTTAGTAAAATCTACTACACATATAAAACTAGAATAAATGATGCACATAATGAGGCATTGTTTTAATATTGGAAAGAATAATGAGATACGTTTTTATAAATAGGATTATAAGAACGCAATAATGAGATGCTATATAGAATTTTATTTTTATGAAAAAGAATATTGCCTTAATCGAAAAATTTTTTTATTGACTATTTCTATTTTACAGGTTGAAGTTTCGAGTGCACTTGTACCGAACGATGCAATTGCCAATTTATCGCATGTTTATTACGTCGTTTGCACATAAGTGTTTTATCTGGCATTATTAATATGCGTAGATAATGATGTATATGTGATAATTACATGATGAATAATTAAACGTTACTCATGCGAGAGAACGCGCATAATAATATATTGCATACATTTATTGCAATAGAAGATTACGCATCGCAAATTATTTCTGTATATTTCTGTAGAAAAGTGACAAATACGGATTCTTGTCTCTTTTCTCGCAAAGTCTCAGATGAGTCTTGTAATTTATAAATATCCAAAAATTCTTATTACTTATTTACGCGCACGAGATTATTATCACAGCGCATTACGAGGAATGTAAAATGTTGCTGTGGATAAAACATTTGATCTGCGTCTGTATCTTTCGTACATCGGTTGAAACAATACTTCTGGGCTTACGTAATTATCAATACCGTGATGCAGAGTTGTATCAACAGTGAGGGAGAGAGACCGTGCCAGGGACGTCTCGGCAGGATCTTTGTGTGTCTAACTCTTTGGAGTGGAACTCGTACTCTCCTTTCACGGTCCAAGTGTCACGGCGAGTGCGGCTGCACCGAGTGCAATTGCACCGAGCGCGTACGACGCCCCGTATAGCGCTGGCTCAACCTTGTCGGGACACGGTAGATTGCTGGTCGATGATGGCCGGGTCTATCCAGATATTCGGAATGGTCCGCGAACGAACGCCTGCGGGATTCGGCCGATTCTTGCGAGTCTCTCCGAGAGAGAGAGAGAGAGCCATAAACGGATCTCGCGTCGTGTGTAAAACAATATGAAAACTCGCGGTCGAGAAGCTGGGCGCGAGGGTAAAATAAGGATCTCGGATAATTCACCTTCTTGTTTTAAAAACCTTACAAATAATAGATCTCTCTCGCACCCGAATCCTCCGATCGCGATGCGACCGGGCGCAGAAATGAGAAATCGATGGCGGAAATTCAGAAATATCTCCCCGCGATACGATTGAGCGTCACAGTTTCCGAGAGTATCTCGATTCTCCGGCGGCATTTATAATTCACGGTGTAATTTATGAATTGATAATATCTCTCGAAGCAGCAGATGTTTCCCTTAATCTTCGAGAGTTAATTAATAGCGCACGTGACGTACGACGGGATGTCACGTGCAAGCCGCTGGTCAAAGCTCTTGCGTAAAACTCTCAGCGTGCGGTTTATTTTTGCGGGAATCGGCAATTTCGCGTGACTCGAAGCGAAAAAGCGAGAGAAAATCACGCGTACGTTTGTTTTGTGAAATGCGATGCGAGTGCGATCGGCCGCATGATCGAGAAAATCATTGCGGTGTATCTCTCCTCTCTTAGGTTTCTGTAAAAACTCCGCGTTCCTCGGAAATCGAGAGAGAAACGTTAGATTTGTGTAGCTTCGCGGCTCGCGATTCGCGAGAGGGAAGAGAAATAGGGAGGAGAACATCTGTATGGCTGTAGAACGAAAGGTGGCGGAGAAGTGCGGCGAGGGAGGTCGAGAAAAGTGGTTCCGGCTGCGTTTTCTCGGCATAAAGGCGTAGCTGCTTTGTGCCGCAAATTGAAACCCTCGCTCTCCGCGAGTCGCTCGATTAGGAGGTAATTACGGGGATACCTATCGCGTTCCCGAGGGATTTTTTTTCAGCCGATTATGGAGAACGGAAGTGATTTGCGAAAAAGATTTGCGTTCAGGATGTGCGCTTAGCTCGGTTTCTCGGTGTACCGTGACAATGCCATGGTATATCAGTTATCGAGGCAGGGGAAGGGAGAAGGATAAACGATCGATCGAATTAAACGCTTTATTCAATTCTAATCTGTGCAAAATTGATGTCGTGTTCATCGTATGCTCTTCGTTTCAGCCAGGCGATTTCCAGCCGGAGAAGTTGGCGGAGAACGTTCGCATTTCGTGAAAGTATTCGAAGTAATCTCTCTCTCTCTTGACTTTAATTAATGCCATTTGTCGACAATTAACCCTTTCCGAGAAATAACGAAAATGAGCGCAAGTGAAAATTAACGAACGAGACAGCCGTCGCGATTCTCCTAATTTCGGTACATTTGACGTATTACAGCCGCAGCTCGCGCCTATTAAAATAATTTCTGTAGCACTGAACGTCAGACAAAACTTTACGACGTGCGGCAATCTTGCGGCATCTCTCTTGTGAGTCAACTTCGCTAAGCATGCACATCGCCTAGAGCACTTTATGCATCAGGACGAAGGTTTCCAATATACACCACGCTCCTGGGAAACGTTTTTCAGGGAAAAACGCGAGAGAAAAGAGAAATGGACAGTTAACGAGCGTTCGCTTCTACTAAAGTATCAGAAAAGTGACTGAATAAAAAAATGGCTACGACGACGCGAAATCAGAAGAAGCCGATATCCCGTACCTCGAGACGCGCTTTGTAAATTTGAAAAATTATTTCCTCGGAAACGCGTCACGCGCGTAATTTCCACGTTCCACATATTTTCACATCTACTTGGATTACGTGTGACGTGGAGATGTTCGATTAGAGAATTTTCGTGCGTGACTCCTAATGATAAACCGTCAGGAGCAGACGGCTCGATTACATAAAGCCTTGGCGTGCGAACGCGTCTGTCTGTAATTGTACGCGATAGCGTCTCCGCACTGTACAACATCCTCGCGAGCATCCGTTGCTCGTTTCGCGCGAGCGAGTCGATCCCTCTCGAAGCGCGTAATGCGTACGACATCGTAATTGCGGAAAGCCTTTTCTATCATCTTCCGATATACAATCCGAGATCCATGTCGCGATTTGCCGCGGACAAAGATCGCCAGGCGTAACAATCGCGTTACGCTCGAAATCGAGGTCATTAGTCATGAAATCAGCATAGAGACTATCGCGACGGGTGCACGTGCACCGAGGATGACGCTTCCGGAGACCGCTGGCGGAAATGTATGTCAGATGACAGGGGAGGGGGAGGGAGGGGATTGCTACGTGAACTTGGATCTCTCGTCTGTAATCATACAGAGCTTCCTGACTCTCGGAATTCTAGAGAACCGAGGAACTAATCACATATGATTTCAAACAATCCGTGAATCATCCATGGAAAATCACGTCGCCGCTTACGTTCCAGCACTGTGCTTCTGGCGATACAGTTGATTAAAAGAGACACACAAAAAATACAGAATGAATAGTCCTGAATACCAGAATAATTCTGGTAGCACAAACAGGAAGAACTACCGTTCATCGCAAACCTTTTTGTCCGAGTATATAATTCACGATTGGAAAAAAATATATCTAATACTTAATATTATATTAAGAAATAAGATGTCATATTTTCGAAATATCGTTTGATATTTTAATTGAATTATGTTTTCTGAATTTATTTATTATAAATAATACAAATTTTGAAGAAAATTTTTGATATGTCTTTTTTCGTATGACGTTTTACAATGGTGCAGGGTTGATTATCGCTATTACTATATCGAGTTGTCTTTTATTTGATACGCATTAGTATTACGGATGTTGAGCCATAGTCAGGGATATGAATGATATCATTAGGTATTGTTGCAATACAGGAATATCCGCGTTAGCTATCTCCACACGTGCGTCTGTCATCCTTATCAAGAAACACCTGAGGCTCTTGTGTCCGACATTCGTGCAAGTAGCTTTATTAGCTCACTCGAAGGATCCTTGAGTTAATACCCCTTTGTGAATAAAAAGGATTGTCAAATAGTTTACAAAGATCCTCTTAACAAACAACCGACTAAGAAAGTTCGCTCAAACTGCGACGTTTTCTACCTGCAATATTCACATGCTTCATTTTTTTTGTTGCTGTCAGATAAAAATTTTAAATAAAAATGATATATAAAATTATTACAATTTTGTGAAGAAATTTTAGCAAAAGTTATCGAAACATCGAGAAATAAAATCCTGATAACACAAGTCGCTTCGTAAAAATTTAGAATTTTTATTGATATTTTTTATTTAAATCGATTTTATCGATTCGTTGTAACGTAAAATTATACTTTTACGTTGACCTTTGTCTTCCTCGAGTAAAAAAGCTGCAGCGCAGATTTGTCAGTCGAGTATGCAAAGTGCCAATTTGGAAAACATGTGTTTTCTCGTCTTCGATTGACTAGCAATAATACGCTGTATTAATGATAGACTCAAGGTTACACGATGGAGAATATTATTCTTAACTACAGGTGCAAAGTTCGCCAGAAAGACGAATTTAAAATAGTAGCGTGTTCTGCGCAGCTCGAAGTAATAACATTACAAAAACCAAATGTCCAAGGTTCGGAAGTTCACGTAAGATATCGGACGGTGAAATTCCCGGAAAGACTGGGATTACGGGGATTATGAACTGAACGGATAAACCGTGCTACAATAGGCCTTGCATTTTTCTTTTGCCCAGGACAATTCACTTCCTAGAAATATCATCAGCGGTTTTCAAGCCGTGCGAACGCATTAATTCCCAACTATGTTAATGTTTCGCGTGGAGGTAAAGAAATTATCATAAAATTTCAGATGTTTTCCGCATTTTCTAGTTCTTTGATCTATCAGAATGGTACGAAGGTAGAATAGATTTTGTCTCAATAAAATTGTTCAGATAGCTCTAGAATACACATCGTAAAAACTTGTCTTATGACACAATTATTTTAATAACTCTCAAATTATAAGAAAAGAATTTCCAAGAAGACTTTCCAAATATCAGGATAGAGGATACAATGAACTTTATTACATCCCATCAGAATATATTTGTCTTGCAATTATTGTTTAACTGTTCGGGATAACTTTCAAAGGGCTCGCCAAATTGCATACTCCAATTACGCAAATTACATGAAACAACCCTAATTATTGATAAAAAAAAAAAAAGCGTGCCAATATACTAAATAACGGAATGGACCATAGCGTGCGTGGCGAAAAAAACGACACTTGCATCAGACTCCGGACCCAAACTTCGATCTTCATTCACTAGTGCAAGTGTCCGACTCCAGTCTCTGTTTTTCCACATTCCTCTCTCTTATGAACGGGTTGTATCTCTTCGTCGCGCTTGTGGGATGCCAGGCGAACAGCCTTTGGTCTCTCGTCCTCGGTGCGGCCGTACCCGCGTCGGTGCAACCGCACTGGATACCACACCAGCGAGTTCAGTGCTAGAGTATCGACCCACGGCATGTGGTGGCTCATTCTCCTTTCTCCTTCGTTCCTTCCTTTCCTCCTCGCTCGCACGAGGAATTACAGTTCCCTCTCCTATTTTCTACCGTCGTTTCCCTTCGATCTGCCTGCGCTCTTCGTCATGCTCTCCTAGAGTACACTCCGTCGGGCTACCCTAAGGTCGATACTCGAGTGAACGTGCATGGGAATTCCGCCTGTGTGGTGCTACCTCGCTTTGTTGTACATGCGCGATGATCAATGGTGTACAACGAGGAAGAGGCACCCTGTTCAGGTTCACTTTAAAGAGCCAGGAGACTTAGATTCAGGCGCCAATAATAAATCATCGAATGATGATTACTTCTATCTTGCTTCTGTATTACTTCATTTATTTTTTTGGATAAACCCAGCGGGTATCTTCACTTTTTATCATTTAGCTTAAATGATATTTTACACCTTTTTTTTTACACAGTCATTTGAGCTAGTTCTGACTAAGTCTGCTTAAATCTGTACGTGTCATTACCCTGAATCATCTAGTTAGCAGGAAGTATGTTATAGGAATTTTACAGACACGTTTTCTCTCTTTTGTAACATGAAGATAAAGAAAATTCCCATTCAATTCAGTGATGTCATGAATAATAAATTATAAAAAAATTCGAAATTTGATATCAAAAACTGACATTGGGTTTTTAATACGATATATAACAAGATTAATCGATTATTCTTGTTCTTCGAAATGAGAAACAGTGAATTTAATTGTTGTAAAACGCAATTAAATTCACCGTCAAACTCAATTAAGTTAAATGTACTCGGTAGTTACTAAATGTCGATTAAATTAATTGTAATGATCTTCCATCGTCTAAAGTACATATTTACGATGAACATTTTACGATGAATGTTTCAACAACCAGGACAAGGACTATCCTTGACTTTAGCACGTGATAACGATAAGTAAGATGCAAAATCTGTAGAATAAAATAAATATTCCCGAGACCGAATCAGGAAACTGGGAGCAAAAACAACTAGAAAAGCTATAAATCTTTTTCCTTGAGGAAGATTAATAAAACTTGTGTATCAAGTATCAGCAAATCGCACTGAATAAATGAGAAACTGAACTTTTTTACAGATTTAAAATAAAATGAAACAAATAATATCGCATGATTAATACGTCCTATATTTTTCCACGTTTGGTGCGTTTTTCTTGGACACGACTTTTTCGCAATTCTTGTATACGCATTCGTCAGAAATCATTTCTCCGTAGGAGGAAGAAAAACATCGGGGGTATGCAGCTAACGTTGGAAACAAGTGAGTTTTCTCGTTGTCATAATCGACGACAAAGAAATGGAGAAGTTAGAGCGGTGTAACGACGCACCGTCCGACGTCCCTGGACCCTGCCACTCTCAGGCTCGACCCACTCCGTCGTCGGTAGAGGGTGGAGGTGGAACGGAGGTGCACACCTCGACAGCTGATCGCGGTGGTGCGTCGCGGCGAGATTGGCGCTCTCCCTGCGTTCAGTTGCAGTGCGCGTTGTGGATCCGCTCGGTGCGTCCGCTCCGATCCGACGGAATCGATCACCGGAGGATCACCTGAGTGCAACCTTGTGCGTTCGCGGATCGATCGATCCTGAACGACATTTCCGGAGACTGTTCCGGAAATGAATGCGACGTTACGGACGCAGTGGTGACGGTGCGCCAGTAACCGGACGACACGAGGAGGTCGAATCGCGGGGTGGAATTTTGGCGGTACCGTGGCGAGGACCAGAGTGGTGATCCGTGTGGTAACTCTTCGTACCTGAGAGACACTTCCGCTTCTAGCGATCCGCTTGAGAAAACGAGTCTGACAAACCGAGGATGCGAAACGTCATCGCCGTGATATGAATCCGGACGTCGCGGCGGTAGCTGAACTCACTTTTGTCCGAGGGTGAGTTGCTCTTGTTAGTGTCGATTAATGCGCGCGTGAGACGGACGTGTAACCACCTCGGTGGTTCTTCAACCACCCTTGCTAACTGTGCGTCATGGACATCAGCCGATCTATCCCACGTCCGTTACGTGGTAATCAATTATGGTTTACAGGGGAGAAATTAACTTATTCGAGTGCAGTAGTCCTCGCGCACTTCGTTACTGCTTCAGTTAATTAATTAGAGCTATATGCGAAGCGATAGGAATATACCGTGACGCGCTGCGAAATCAAACTTCGCGTAACGACTGACGTTAACGCACTGATCGCGTACTAATGCACCCTTCATCGGGTCATCGACATATTATTTCCCCGGCCTCTATCGATGGTTTTTTTTATCGTTAGATTTTTATTTTGCGATTTATGGTGCCTCCGTCTCTCGTTCTCCACAATTTGATGAACGGATGAGGGTCTACGAATCTCGTAACTTGCACGCGGAGAAAATTGCTTTTTGGTTGCTTGCACCAAAATTCTGTTTAAAAATAAACGAGACAGAAATTCCGATTGAAATTACCAGATTTCTGTCTCGATTAATCAGAAATTTTGTTATTTTAAATAATGTGAAGAAAGAGCATATAAGCCAAGCTAGGTGTACGTGCTAAGTATATATTTATAAAAAATTATAAACTGAACAATATGTTAAAAAAAAAACAAACTGACTTGTTTTGACTTGTATAGGTTTGTTAGGTCATTCTCAATATTTAATAAATATACCGTAAATTTGATATGTCACGTTCATCACGCATCAATAAATAAATTAATATAAGATAATATTCTTGTTATTTGAAATTGAATTCTGATAACTTCAACCGGAACTTCCGATTTGTTCATTTTTCAACAGAATTTTGATCCAACCAACCGAACTACTTTTTCCGTGTTATAAATTATTCTGAAGTAACCGATATAGTGTGAAGACAATCATTTCTATACGCAACTCTATAAACGCAATCATTTCATCTCTTATGTCCGCGATATTATTTGCGGTACACGGAAGAGTCTTTACTAGAGACACGTGTTACGGCAGGCTATTTTTAATAGCTGCGTTTGTCATATGGTTGTGATTTTGCTGTATGACCTTTGCAGATCTATTTAAAGAGACGTTTAGGGATAGTTTGTTAAAATAAAATTTCTAACGCTATTATCGTGTCACGCAGGATGGAACAAGGATCTCCTCTGTTCGGCCAGCTCGGACGTCTGTAGAGCTAGAATCGAGATTGTGATGCGGGTCGCTTAATAAATACTTTGAGAGCAACATCAATAGGACGGCCGTATTGCGATAAGAGAATTACATTGAGTACGTGTCGCTTTTAAAGAGGATTTGCATATATCAATCGATCGGTTGCATTTCCGCCCGAAAAATCGTTGTTCATTGCTGCACGATATTCGTGTATTTTTATTTTTCAAATTTAAAAAGAGACTCGATAGAGATTCTGTTTAATTAAGTACTTTACAGAACGAGAGAAAGAAGTGAAATATAAATCCAGATATTTATTAAATCATGAAGAGAGTTTTGACTATTTAAAGATAGTTTTATTAATTAAAGATAGTTTTTTTTCATTTATGCATTAACACGTCCTATAAAATACTTACAAATAGGATGTCGAATTTGACACCATAAGAGTAGCGAAAGGTGTCTCAGAATTATTTAATTAATCGAATTAAAAACTAAAAGAGGAATCCTTTAATTGAATTATTCTTTCACATAAGACAATAGGGCAATTAGGGCGTTTTTTCTGTCTCACCTGAATTGAAATTTTATCGATTGGAGTGCTGCCAGGATAAACTCATCGCAATTATCACTGCAATTGATATAACTTACCGCAATTATCACTGCAATTGATATGGGAAAATGAGTTTTACGTAGCTAAGCACACCTCGCCTCAGGAGTCGAAAATTAAACTTAATGTTGTATTCAGAGCTACATGGAAGAGCTCCCTTTTTCGTATATTCCGTGGCGATTGCGAGATACCTTATCGGACTTGCAGAATTGACTCTATTGTGAGCAGAGCGCTTAATTAACGAGAACTCAGCATGACCGAGCGTCTATTGCCTTTGAGGCTGATCGGGATGTTTAGGTTGTTCAAACAAAGAGGGTCGTCCGATGGCCAACCGATTGTGGGACGTCGCCCTGGAATAATAAAACCAAACGATCTCGTCTCAGTCGATGTCCCGGGTTGCTGACACAGGCGAATATGGCAAAGACGGAAACGGCAAAGCGAGTACGCTGTTACATCATACGCGATGTGCAATTGCGCTCGTCGTGTATCACAAACACGCGACCGGCGTAATTTCTGACACGTGCACGTCCTGCAAAAACAGAGGATGCATCATGGCGGTGATCCCCAATGGCCGGAACAGCTGATCTTCAATTTTCGAGATTTTGACGTGAGAGAGGCGCGGAAGCTGTATCTGCGGGATTCTATGTACATAAACGGGAGATATGCTCTGAATTATGTCATATCGAACGGTGCTGAGTTAATTCTTTCCAGAATCCTAGATGCTCAAATTTGGGTCTCTTCCCCTTCTTCTTTCCTTTCTTTATTTTTTTTGATTATATTTTTTTGATTAATTAGTAAATGATTTTATTTCTTTATTGTACTTTTAAATAAATAAATCTGATTATCTCTAATTCTTTTAATTAATAATAAATATTAAAATGTTTATAAAAAAGTAAGGAAGAGGATTATTTGTTTTTTCGTACATCTCTTTGCTTTTTATATGCGTGACATGGTTCTTTTCTTTATTTATTTTTCTTTTAATCGGCTATATATGATAATCTCTTCTTATCAAGAGAAGCAAAATTTGAAAGTTCATATCAATAACAAAGTCTCTCTTCCTGAAAAGGAAAAGCATCACGACAATAATAACAGTAAGATTTTATCAATTTCTTAAAAGATGAGCAAATTTTTAGGAAACCGTAATGTTTCCAAACCAAACATTGTAATGGCGCAAATAGCGATTATATAATAGCGACTTACTTTCTCGAGCGTCACTATTTTTTTCGTTTCATCTGTATTGCTTACAACATGCTTTCGCAATGTTTGCAATGTTGAATTATATTATGTTGATAAATAGTTTACAATTGAATTATAGCATATGTTGATCGTGTTCATATTAATATCATACCTGTAAGTCAATTATAGAGATATTAAGAAAACTGCGATCTGTCTTCTTAGTGGAACAGCAATATTCTTCTCTTTCTTCTAGCTAAAAGCAAGTTTATCCAAAACGTGGCTGCTTGTTGCATCAAGAATGTAACTGAGGAAGCTTCTTAGCTCTATTTTTCCCTACTGATTCATATGATAATTCGTAAGATACACCGACAATGAGTGAACTTGGCTACCGAAATTTCTTTGTTCGAAAGTAACTGTGAGATCTCGCGTATTGTGATAACAATGTGATAAGATATTTTTCCTGGTTTAGTAATATCGCAAATTTTGTAACAACACAATAGATAAGATAGTTACTGCGATCTTCGCATATGTTTTGTTGCTCTTTAATCTACATATGTGAGTGTATTCCACGTGTACATTATTCTGATAGATGCACGTGTTTGCAGATTAGTACAATATATAACGTTTCGCATATAACGTTTCACTTGAATGAACGCGATCACAAAGCGTATAGAATCGATAAATTATTACTTTGTCGTTTACGTTAAATTTGCAAATGTAAAAGAATGTTTTAATAATCTATTTTAGAATAATTCTACTATCATTGTGACCTCTTTTTTTTGAAAAAAAAAAAAATTATTTTTTGTAAATTTTATTTCTCTGCTATGTGGAAATATAAAATGGGGAATTTATCTATCACATGTTTAATATTCACGTAACTCAATAAATGTCGCCACAAAGTCTAGAACGCAGTCTAAAACAAGGAAATCCGATTCTATACATATATACATATTGTGTCTAATAATGTCGAATCCGAGGGGCTTCGAAAACTTCCTAGAGACTATTCTCAATCGACTGGTTTTAAATTATTGATGCCTTCCATTTTATCCGCCTTAAAAATTTTTCGATAATACCGGAATACACGATGCGGCAATGATAACATGCGTCACGGCATATTTTATTAACCGTATAACAATAAGACGAACAGAAAACGTCCCTTCTGATGGAGACACGATTCTTAGACCGCAAAATGCTCCGACAGTTCTGAACCATTACTTTAAGTGCACGAGATATTGTAATAGAATTTCAAGTATTACATACTGTCTAACTATTCCCAACGTGTCTTTGATAGCTTAGATTTGTTTGTAAATGCACTTTCGAGTATCATTAGATCTTAAAAACAATCGAGTGTAGAAATGAATTTGTTACTTTCTTAGAGCAATGAAAAATTATTCTAACTTGTAAATATATTTTTTTTTCAGCACGATTGGATGATGACTGATTTAAAGAATCTCACCCTGGGCAGCAGCGGAGCATCCAGGTACAGCGGGGATGAACAGGTGCAGTTTATCCCAGGTGGGAGCCAGGTGACGATCAGATCACCCCCTCCCTCCTTACATTTGGAAAACCTTAACAATGCGGTCCATGGGTAAGAATAATTTATTATTATAACTATTTAATTTATTATTATAACTATTTACAATTATTGCTTTGCGTGTTATTTTTACAATTCAAGCTTTAATTTGAAACAACGAATTAAGAAAAGATTATAAACTATTGCAAATAAAAATAGAAATAATTTATTGATTTCAATTTGCATATTGCAACGATCAGTTTATCGTAAAAAACAAATAATTCAGTTTTAAAAGAGACACGCAAAGCCGAATCGAATGTCTCTGTTGACTTTTTCCGCGATCAGCTAAAGATAAAATTATTTATGCATTAAAATATTAGTTGAGCGAAGATTAATAAAGTCAATTATAAATATTCAAGCATAAATCATTTATAAATATTCAAGTATAATTTTAAATTGCAAACGATATTATGTTCAATTTTATAATAAAATAAAGAAAACTATATGATAATAATCAATGAGCGATAAAAATTAATATAATCAAGTTATAAAAACACAATACATGTTAAAAATAGAAGAGTGATTAGTATGCATTGAAAATTGTTTCAAGAATTATAACACCTCATTTTTGCGCAATTTATAATTCGATTTTGAAAAATTATTTTCTTAAAAGCATATATTTATATTAATAACGTATAATTCTCTTAAATGAAAGATAATCATAAATAAGTATCACATATATACATTTATTTTGTTTTAATACATAATTATAATAAAATACAAAATGAAATGTGCACAATATCAGAATATTATTCATCATTAGTAAGCACCATTGAATTAAAGGGCTAAACTTAGACTGAGATAAATGCGTACATTAGATTACTCGTGTTGTAAGATAATTGAATAATAAATGAAAATACATTGGATTTTCTATGCGAAAATATACATGAAAAATGCGGAAAAAGGAATAAGGAATGTCTCGCAAATGATTATAAAAATCTTTGTTTATATGAGCGATAAAATTTCGACAGAGTTAGAGTATAATACGTACAATATCACGCTATAGACTTTTTTGATTACATATTTGATTAATGACAAAAAATTAAAAAAACCATGATTGATGAAAGTAATAATTCCATAGTAAGTAATAATTATAAAATTGAAATAATAAAGATTGCCTTATGATTTATTTTATTTGTGGCTACACATAATTTTTGAAGTTTTATGGTTTCTACTAAAATTTTAATTCTTATTGAATTCTAATTCTCATTAAATAAATCAAAATTATTACTGATACATCATAAATATCTATTAATTGTGAAGCTAAAGGAAAAATGATGACGTGTTCCAATAAGGAGTTTTATATTGTTCTCCTACGCGGTATAAAACAGTACTTAGAAGAAGGTCTCCCGATTACCTCGAACTCTACTAGGTAGCCTTCGTTTCTGATCTCAAGAAAAGAAAATCTAGTTTCTTCGTCCTCGAAGTGTGAATGCAAACCGTTTATAATCTGCTGTTAGCATTTTATAATACTTTTACTTACGATATTGATTTATACTTAATACTACTTTATAATCTACTTAAAGAAATTTTGCATATGTTTAGTATATATAAAATTGATTAATCATCTTACAATTGTTAAAAACCTCATATTTAATTAATTAATAAAAATATTTCATAATTAATATAAATTATAATTGAACGCATATTATATATATGTTCAGAAATCTTAATTAATTATATTAAATCTATCATATCTGATGAAAAAACGAATTTGTTAAGAAACTTGAATTCATAAAGTAATTATTTTTTCTTGTTGTTTATAAAACAATTTTTAATTTTTATTCTAAATTTATCCAAGCTTGTAACTAATGAATTTAATAGTCATGTTAAGATTAAGTTTAATTTGCCGTCTTCACTTGGTCTTTATCGTAATCTTAAGATTTATCAAGCTATCAAGTGTGAATTCATTGTATATAAGCCAGAATTTACTCGTGCGTCATGGAGAATTATAAATAAAGAGGGAGAGAATACGATCCTCGAATTACACGCGAACCTTCCCTATAGATATTAAGGTCTAAAAGGGATTTCAAGGTCCTTCGATCGTACTTTTCTCAAGGCTTGTCCTTAAATCGGGCTTTGAATTTAATCCCTAAAAATAACATTCAATTCGTGTGCTAAAGTGTAGAGTGAATGCTTCATTGTAAAGTAGACGTAAGTAGTTGATGTAAGTAGACGTAACTTACGACGTAACGTCTACAGGCAATTTCTTCCCGAACTGCGTGTCAATGCAAGTAAATTTGTTATTGTTGAAGTTAATGATACTCGAGAAAATTTGTTGTGATATAAATGATTCATTTTCAGATATGAGAATAATTAACAAGATTTATTATTATTACGAAAAAACTAATGTAATTAATTTCACTGTTACATCTCATAAAAGGAGAAAATTTTTTAATAATAAGCTCATCTTTTTCACGTCAAAGGAAAATCATTAGATACATAATAAAAGTGGAACACTTGTGGGTGTTCTGTATCAAAGAATTATCGAAGAACTATATTGCCTAACAATCGATACTAATTGTTTCGTACACACGATCACGGTCAAGGTTTTTGACCTCGCGAAAGCTTCGATCAAGCATTCCCCGAACTTAGGCATTCTCCGAGACCGAAGAATGCGGGACTTGCAAACACGCAGTTCAAGTTTTACCTGTGACTTCA